TACCGTGGAGTTGGTAGTTATTGCAATAATCCCGGGTAGGCTACATGTTCACCTTTGCATCTTTGGCAGGTGTCACATTCCAACACCTCCTTTTTGATGTCTTTGTTCATCCCCGGCTAAAAAAAATGTTGCTTTGCCCTATGGATACTAGCTTGTACTCCAGATTGACCCCTTTCCTGTGACGAATGTATAGCAGCTATCAGCTTCTTCCTGATGTCACCACCTTGAGCCGATGTAAATTCTAGTTTTATACTTAAGCAGCCCATTCAAGTAGTAGTAGTCCGATTCAGAGTTGCTATCAAGCAACAAAGCTATAATTTTAGTCTCAGCCTCCCTATTTCCTTGATAGCTTATCATCACTTCCCTCATCCACACTGGCATGACTTTGGTAATTGCCAAGCACTCTGAATTTTTTTTCCTCTCATCTAGATAGAGCATCTGCCACCAGATTTTCCACTCCCTGTTTGTATTGTATTTCATAGCTGAGCCCCAATAATCTGGACAATCATTTCTGTTGTAGTGGGGTAGTGATTCTTTGCTCCAGCAAATATTTGAGTGATTGGTGGTCTATTTTAATTATGAAGTGGTGGCCTTCCAAGTAATGTCTCCACTTACTCACTGCAGTGACCAAGGCCAGTAGCTCTTTTTCATATATGGACAGGCCCAACTTCTTACTATCTATGCCTTTACTCAAATATGTTAAGGGCCTCTTATTCTGCATTAGGACCGCCCCAGTCCCTCCATAACATGCATCAGTTTTGATTATAAAAGGTAGGGAGAATTCTGGTAATGCTAACACGGGAGTGGTACTCATAGCCCTTTTTAATTTCTGAAAAGCTACATCAGCATCCTCACTCAAAACAAAGTTGTCTTTCTTCAGTAAGTCAGTCAGGGGTTTGGCCATAGTCCCATATCCTTTTACAAACCTCCTGTAGTAAACAGTTAGGCCTAGAAATCCCCTTAACTGCTTGATGTTAGTTAGTTTAGGCCACTCCTGCATTGCTACAATTTTTGAAGAGTCAGCTGCTACTCCTTCTGCAGAAATGATGTGATCTAAGTACTCTATTTTAAACTGCCCAAAGGAGCATTTACTCTCTTTAGCAAAGAGCTTATGGTGTTTGAGGAGCTCCAGTACCACCTTGACATGGTCACAATGAGATTTCATGTCCTGGCTATAAACGAGTATATCATCAAAGAATACCAAAACAAATTTCCTGAGGTGCTGCTTGAATACCTCATTCATTAAGCATTGAAAGGTTGCAGGAGCATTGGTAAGCCCAAATGGCATTACCCTGAATTCATACAATCCTTCATGTGTTTTGAAGGCTGTTTTATGGGTATCTTCTTCAGCTACCCTAATATGGTGATATCCAGCCCTTAAATCGACTTTTGTGAACCATTTTGCCCCTTCTAGTTCATCCAGTAATTCATCTATGATTGGCATGGGGTATTTATCCTTAATAGTGAGACTGTTCGACTATCTATAATCCACACAAAACCTCCATGCACTATCCTTCTTTTTCACTAACAGGACAAGAGATGTATAGGGGCTATTGCTAGCCCTTATGATTCCATTTTTCTTCATTTCCTTCACCATCCTTTCAATATCCGCATTCTGAACATAGGGACAGCTGTATGGCCTGATTTTAAATGGTTGTGCACCTTCTTTCAATGGTATATGATGATCATTAAATCATGTGGGTGGTAATCCCTTGGGTTCTAGGAAAACCTTAGGGAACTTATTCACTATTGCCTTAAGTTTGATTGGCATGGCCGCATGGGTTCCTGTCCTCTCTCGGCAATGGTAGAGAGAGGACAGGAACCAAATGTTCGTCTATGAAACCGTGAGTACTCCCACTATCAATTAATATAGACACCTTTCTTCTTTTAATCATGCTAGGGAGTCTAATTGTCTTCATCACAAGGCTGCCTACTAATGCATAGGTGGATATCTGCATTACTTCATCCTCCACTTCTTGGTTCACCTGTTCTTCCATCCCATCAATTAGTTCATCAACTTCCCCATCACCCTCTTCATCTACTAGTATGAAATTGAGCATTTTATTCTTGCATACATGCCCTTTAGTATACTTTTCATCACATTTGTAACATATCCCCAGTTCCCTTTTAGTTTGAAAATCTGTAGGGGTAATGACTTTAAATTTAAGAGAGTTAGTAGAGTTTCTAGGGATAGGATCTGAATAGGTGTTAGGTTTATTTGTAGCTTCATTTGGCTTGGGGTTAGGACTTGGATTGGACCATTTAGAGTAGGGGTGTGGTTTGAAGGATTTGGGTCCTTTGTTCAAGGCTGATATGGTATTCTCCTGTAAGAGGGCAATCTCAAAAGCTTTGGCAAGGGTGGAGCATTAAGTCATCTTCACCATGGATTTGATTTCGTCTTTCAGGCCACTGGTGAAAATCGAAATGTAATACGACTCGGGTAAGTGAGGTAAGGATACCATTACCTGGGATTTCAACTCTTCAAAATGCTCCTGATATTCCATAACGGTCCCTTTCTGCCTTAATTTACTGAAGGTTTCTACTAATTCCTCAGTTGTATTCTTCGCAAATCTCCTACAGATCTCCTTTGCAAACGCATCCCAATTAGCAGTTGGATGGCTGGAGATGAAACCATGAAACCAAACGTTTGCCTTCCCTTTTAGATACATCTCTGCGATTCCCACCTTCAACTCATCCTCCACCTAATGAATCTGAAAGTACTTGTTCGCTTTTCTCAGCCATTCTCTTGGCCCTTCTCCACTAAAATAAGGGAAATCTATCTTTGGTAATTTGGTAGCCATCCTGATCTCCTTGTTCCTATTGAAATTACCAGATTTGGTTTCATTTCCCTTAAGATTGTCCCCACTGGCCAGAGATGATAACCCATATCCTTCTACCTGTTTTTCCTTGTAATCAGCCCTGTTACCAGCTAGTTGGGCTAACATTAACACCATTGATTCTGGGTTAGCCTTCATCTCACCCATCATCTGTTCCATCCGATCCTGTCTAGTACAAAGTGCTTGCAACAATTGATCATTGGTTTTGAAAACCACTCCCAGATCTGCTATCTCCTTATCTAACCTTTTAAGGTGTTCTTCATTCATCTTACTTCGAGTTTCCGTCATTCCCAGATCCATTGCTGCTCTGATACCAATTTGTAATGATTGAGCTGAAATTCTCAACCAAAGTACGTAAATTTCAACAACACAATTAGAATCCAAAGGAAATTCTCAACATCCGGTCTTCAATTAGGATTTCAGAATGCAATTACAGAGAAGAAAATGATTAAACAGAAAGAAAACAGAAAAGAGGAGAGAACAAATTCAGAGACAATTTTCCGAAAAATTCGTTCCCCTTTCCCTCCTTCTCCTGATATTATAACAGAATAGCAATTGGGTTTTTTGCAAACACGGTTTACAAAAAACGCACTTAGCCTATTACAATTAATTCTCAATACAAAACGACACCGTGCTGAATTTGGAGTTTAATTAGCCGTTGTAGTTTCTTTTTCCCTCTTCTTCCTTGTTCTGGCCCTTCTCTGTCCCTTCTTTCCCCAGTTCGACTGATTTTCCCCCTCCTTGCTTCCACATAACAGTATTTCCATTCAAATTAACATTTCCCCCTTTAAACTTAATTTCTGCTCATTTTCCCAGATTTTTTACTCTGTTTTAATCGTGAAACTGTCATTCCAAGCACCATCTCGAAACAATTTTTTATGATATTTAGAATTCTGCCATCAACCACCAGTCGCCTTTCTGCAGCAACTAATACACATTTGAATTTTTCTGTGTCAGTTTCTATGGATGCATGGCTAAACTAATTAGCTAATTAACAAACTAATCACTAACTAACTAACAACTAAGACAGCTGGACACAACCATTTGGACTCTGATACGTTGAGATGGAAGTCTCTAGAATCTGGAGCACGAATCTGCTGATGTTTGGTGCACGTGTATTCCAACACACCCCCGTCAAGATGGACTAGGAGATCCATCTTGAAGATGAGAGAAATGGAGTGAAACGTGGATGCATCGGCTGATGAGTTTCCTGCAAGCATCATTGCTAATATAATTGTAGTAGAGACGCCACTACCAACATACATAACACCTTATGATGACATGAGCATTGGAAGAGATTTCTAATGGATTCCATTCCTTCTTCAGCTGATTGATGGAAACTTGTCTGCAGAAGACCTTGTTGGACATTTTACCAAACACCTTATGTGCACATCATTTGGATCTTCCACAGCACTAAAAACTCCGGTTCATGTGAACCAAGAGAAAGCATTTCAATAGAAGATATCAACTGCACCAATAATTTTTGCGGCAATACTTCTAAACAAATCAGCACCCAGAGTTGCACAGTCTCTAACCAAATCTGTTATTACAACAGGATTACAAATGCATGCTACACTCTGATTTAACAGCTCGATAATGTTAGAGATCCAGAAGAAAATGAAGAGAAATTTTATTGTTGAAATTGGTAAATTCAGCTCGATCGGCGATACTTCGAAGAAGCATGCCATTACTAGTTACACCTTCGAGGAATCACTGTTCTTCAACGTCCTTCAGAAAACCTCTTCGAATTGAATGAGAATGAAGGTAAATTGAAATCCAGTGGACTGAATCTCAATGATCAGTTTCAGAAGAGAGAAAACCACATAGATATGAAAATTTTGGGAATGACACTTCCGGAATTGTGTTGAAATGGAAGAAACAACAGATCTGCTTTCTTTGAGCAGAATACCGGAAAAATGAGATGAATTAAATCTTAGGAAAGCAGCAGCAGCAGGAAGCAGATTCTGCTCTGATACTATATTAAAAATCATTGGATGAAAAACAGTTTATTAAACTCCATTAAAGAGAAAGACAAACTCCATAAAAGGAGAATATAAAGGCACTCCATGAAGGAGGAATCACTCCATGAAAGGAGGAGAAGAAAACTCCATAAAAAGTGAAAATGAAACACTCCATTAAAGGAGGAATAGAAACTGAAGCAGATTCTGCTCTGATACCATATTAAAAATCATTGGATGAAAAACAGTTTATTAAACTCCATTAAGGAGAAAGACAAACTCCATAAAAGGAGAATATAAAGGCACTCCATGAAGGAGGAATCACTCCATGAAAGGAGGAGAAGAAAACTCCATAAAAAGTGAAAATGAAACACTCCATTAAAGGAGGAATAGAAACTCCATAGAAGGAGAAAATGAAACCTCCATAGGAGGGATTGGAAATCCACATTCCAATAGACTAAAAATGTATACATGGTGCTGTATTTATAGAGCAAAATGGCTAAACTAATTAGCTAATTAACAAACTAATCACTAACTAACTAACAACTAAGACAGCTGGACACAACCATTTGGACTCTGATACGTTGAGATGGAAGTCTCTAGAATCTGGAGCACGAATCTGCTGATGTTTGGTGCACGTGTATTCCAACAGCAATTTTCCCTTGATTTCATTCTATTTTAGTTGTATGTGAAATTCTAGTTTTGATCTTGCAAGTATATGGAACTGCCGGCTGCGAAATTCCCGGCGATCCGTGGTCGAAACCCTCAATACATATCTCCGATACCTGGACACAAATTGTGCCAAATTGCAACATGCAAAACCAATTACCTATGGATAAATGTCCGGTACCGACAGCTAAGCAGTCACCGTAAAATCTCTGTCTCTGCTAATTTGCCCAAAGCATTTGATTCGGAAAATCGTAAGAAGAATGGCTGGATTCACTTTATCGGTGTGGGAGGCTGTGGAATTTCTGCTCTTGCCATGCTTGCCCTCAGACAAGTATATTATTTCCTTTGTTTTTATTTTTTTCTTTTTATTATTGGATTTCATGGTGTTTATCAATGACATCAGATTTCTGGTAAAATATTTTGAATGTTGATAGGGATACGAGGTTAGTGGTTCGGATATTGTGTGAAGCAGCTACATGGATGCACTAAAAGAAGCTGGCTCTCATTTTTATATTGGCCATTCTGAATTGAGTTTACGAAAGTGTAATTTTTCGAGTTCTCCTGATGCAATTGTCGTTTCGAGTGCAATTCCAACTGACAATGTGGAGATTCTATATGCCATGTCTGTTGGAATACCAGTGTAAGCATTTTTGACATTTGCTCTTGAAATGGGCATAATCTCTAGCCTTTATCTATTCAAATATGTCAGCACAATTGGTTTTACTTCATAGGTATAAACGAGGTACATGGTTGGGAAAGCTAACAGAGGACTACAATCTGATTGCTGTCAGTGGAAGCCACGGTAATATTATGATTGAAGAATTTTAGACATGGTAATTGATCAGTATACATTAGTTTGATTTGTATAGGCCCATGAACACATTTTTGATTTGCAAAATTGCGTTTGTGTGCAAGATGTTTGATGAGGGATATCTCACGATAAAAAGTTGTTCGGGAGGATGCTGTTCAATAAAAAGGAAAGTATAGCTGTATATGATTGTATGTGTTTATGTAAATTCAACGAACGAACCTAACCATTTTGTAGGATGTATTAATTACGCAAGATCACATGAAATAGTATGTATTTGTTTGCTATGAAATAATTTATTCTGTGTCTCCGACTGTGAGACTGAATTGAGTTTAGTTTGGGTGGAGCAATTATCAAAACGGCACTCTGTAATGGGAAGCCTACTGAATGTGGATTATGCCATGGTGGATGGACTTTGTTTAGA